ATACGAAGGGTTTTGAGCTGCTTTCTTTTGTTTCCAAGCACAGCACTCAAACAAAAACAAAAACAAAAAACTGCTTTGCCACCATTAACTGAAAAGGGGAAAAATCAAAAGAGGGTGGCAACAGTAGACCATAACAGTAAGAGTTAATAAATTCGGTAACTCCTCACTTAACATCGTCCCGGTTAATGTTTTGTTGTTATGTTACTGATCAATTAGAGAACATGATCGTTTAAAGTTGCGCAATGCTCCCTTATAACATCGTTTGGTAGCCACCTGCTTTGTCCACTGCTTGCAGAAAGAGCAGCCCATTGGAACTAGCTGGTGGGGTCTTGGAACCAGGGTGGACCAGCAGCCCCCCTATCAGCTCCCCTAAGTTCCCTGTGTGGTAGCCGCCCAGCAGGCTATCAATTGCCGGGCAGTTCAGCTGTCCCTTCCCCCACTGCCATGTGTTGCTCCTGCCCTCTGCCTTGGAGCTGCTCCCGTGAGCCTCCTGCTTGCTGCGCAGGGGGGTGGGAGTAGAGGGGTGCTAATATCACGGTGTCCCCCTCCCTCCCACTCCTGCACCCCATCTCCACAGAGTAGGGGGGGGACACGACAGGGCTCAGGGCGGAGGGAGCTTGCTGGGAGTAGTTGCTGTCTCAACTTGCTGATCTACTTAAAAAGGCAGTGTACTTAGAGTGCGGTCAGCATACTTAAAGGGGCAATGCTCGTCTCTCTCTCGCTCACACATACGGTCTCTCTCTCTCTCTCTCTCTCTCTCACACACACACACACACACACACACACACACACACACACAGTGGGTGACTCTGTCTCTCTCTGCCATGCTGTGTCTCTTCCCTCCATTGTTGCTGCCTTGTAGAGTGTGATGCTACATTCACAACGTGTTAACCCTTGATGGCTTAGCTTAGTGCTAGTTCATCATTTAGCAGTAAGGCATTCCCTGGGAAATATCCACCCTCTTCCACTCTCTGACTCCACCACCTCAACCAAGCTTAAAATATGTCCCTGGAACCTAACCTCCCCTATTTACATTAATTCTTATAGGGAAATTGGATTCGCTTAACATTGTTTCGATTAAAGTAGCATTTTTTCAGGAATATAACTACAACATTAAGCGATGAATTACTGTAAGTATATTGTGACAGACCCAGACCAGTGGAGTACAGGAGTCTGGTAGAGGGCAAATATACTGGTCACTGGATGAGTAGTTTTCTGTTCCCTGAGTGACCAGAGCAGGGGCTGCACTAGAGTAATCAGGAAACTGCTAGAACCAGTTAAGGCAGGCAGGCTAATTAGGACACTTGGAGCCAATTAAGAAGAAGCTGCTAGAATCAATTAAGGCAGGCTAATCAGGGCACCTGGGTTTTAAAAAGGAGCTCACTTCAGTTTGTGGTGCGAGTGTGAGGAGCTGGGAGCAAGAGGTGCAAGGAGCTGAGAGTGAGAGGGTGTGCTGCTGGAGGACTGAGGAGCACAAGCGTTATCAGACACCAGGAGGAAGGTCCTGTGGTGAGAATAAGGAAGGTGTTTGGAGGAGGCCATGGGGAAGTAGCCCAGGGAGTTGTAGCTGTCATGCAGCTGTTACAGGAGGCACTATAGACAGCTGCAGTTCACAGGGCCCTGGGCTGGAACCCGGAGTAGAGGGCGGGCCCGGATTCCCCCCAAACCTCCCAATTGACCTGGACTGTGGGTTCTTCCAGAGGGGAAGGTCTCTGGGCTGTTCCCCAACCCACATGGTGAATCTCTGAGGCAAGAAAATCCGCCAATAAGTGCAGGACCCACCAAGATAGAGGAGGAACTTTGTCACAATATATTAAAGAAATAAGGTGATGATTTATAGTTTTATAAGTCTGTTAATTTTAAGGGTGCAGTCAATGTTGACATACAGCCAAGGACAGTGAGCTGGTAGCTTTAAACAGTTCTGCCAATGACTGGTGTGTTGGTAGGCAGGGTGTGGACTGAGGTTAGGTAAAGGTCACTCCAAAACCTGACAGGAGGGGTCAGTCAAGCATGGTGCAGGTTTTCAATCAGGTCCGGCTTTGATTGACAGATGAGTTCAGCGGCTGTGATTGGTTCATAAGAACAGACCAATCAGGGAAGGCTTAAAGATGGCTGGTGGATGGGTTTGCTAATCATAAGGATTGAGTAAACAACCAATCAGAATAGACCAAAGGATTGAGGAAAGCAACCTGTATATACGGATTGAGGAAGCAACCAATCAGAATAGACCAAAACCTGTATATAAGGCATAGAGCTGACAGGCTTGAGTCAGTCAAGATAAGAGCAGGCACAGAAGCAGGAGAGGAAGAAGGAAGATCAGAAATGAGCTGACAGTCAACTCACGCGATTAAGTCAAAAAATTAATTACGATTAAAAAATATTTTTAATCATGCGATTAATTGCGATTAATTTTTTTAATCACTAGTTTATTACTATGTATACCATTTTAATGTTTAAGTAAGAACTTGCTGTCAGCATTCTACATGTGACTGATAATTGTATGTAGAATGTACCCACTTGAAAGCCATTTCCAACTCTATGGTATTGCAGTATTGGGTACTTTGACATGCATAGCTGTGCTAATAGGATTTGTGTTTTGTTTCTTGATATATGCTTTTAAGGTTTATTGTATTGGGGAATATAGGTATATTGAATAAAGATTATTTTGTTTTTTGAAGAATTAATGCCTGAGTGTCAATACTTTGATTGGAATGCTGTATCCGTGTCCTCCCAAGAGTCAACAGTTAGTCTATCCTGGGGAAGTTTTCCAAAGGTCAGAGGAAAACCCTTAGTAAAACTCTGGCAATTCCTCTAGGGCAGGCCATCCCCTTTCACCTGCCAAAACAGACAATTTGACAAGTGCGTTACAGATATAGGCAGGCCATTGTGAGGGTGCCTAGAGTCTGATTTGGGGGGTAACAGTGGGACATAGAGTCATGGTCAATATAATCAGGTTGATGTAGTGTCAGTGTAGACACTGCATTGCTTACGTCGACTGTTACTGGCTTTCAGGAGGCATTGCGCAATGGTGCTCACTGCCAATACAATTGACACAAACGCTCCTAAAGAGGATGTACATCACTGACACAAGGAGCCAAGTGTGCACACACACATAAGTGGTTTCATAACTGTGGTGGCTGTATGCCGGCCTAAGTTAGGTTGACATAATTTTGTAGTGTAGATATAGGCATATTCTCTGGAGCAGGGATTGGAATACAGATTTTTTTTTCTGGAGCCACAGTAAACCACAAACTATCTTCTGTGTGAGAGAGACAAGTACTATGATGATGTTGAACAAATATTTGTTTTTCTTAAGAAAGGAAATATGTCTTGACAAGGAAACACTTTTTCTAATGGGAAATAACAGAGCTTTGAGAGGTCAGTGAGAGGAATTTTAATGCAGTTCTGCTCTCTTTTGGTTTTGTAGCACTGCCTCATTTTTAGCTCCAAAGGTATTTCTTCCATCATGAGGTACAGTTCTTGCTGGAAACATCACAACACAACACAAACATGGGCATCTCTAGCTGCTGTATTACAAACACCAAATAACTGGATATTGTAGCTGATCATGAAACCTGACTAAATCCTTCTTTTGTGGGAAAGGAAAACATAGAATTCATTCACCACCAAGTGAAGAAATTGAGTCTAATCCTGCTTCCACTGAAATCAATGGCAAAGGTCCCATTAGCTTCAAGGTGGCAGGATCAGACTCATTGCTGTTTATTAACCACAGAAACCTGGTAACTGGAGATATAGGTGAAAATATCATCATCTGATAAACTCTCCCACCAAAGAGTCCAGTATTCTGGAGTCACACTGGGCAATAAATAACAATTTCTGCTAGATTTTCCCCTTATTATTATAGCCTCAACCATTAGACTCACATTCTTAAGACAGATAGCACTGTAGTGTCTGAAGGTGATATTTATTATCTACCAGCACAAGGGAGCCCAAATGTTTTTCACTGTTTGATAAAATTAATAAAAAGTATAAAATTTAAATTAGTGTAGTAGTCTAAGGGCTTTGTATTTTTTGTTTTGTTTTAATTTTCTGTCAAGCCCTACACATAGGCCATGTCTGAACAAAGGATTCTAGACAACTAGAATGTGGATTGTTCTGACATGGCAATTCCTATCTTTTTAAGGATATCCAACAAAAGAAGAGCTTGCATTGATATCAAAAGTTTGTATGGATTCTGAACACCACCTACAGCTTTATCAATTATATAAACTGAGGGGATTTATGAGTTGATTAAACTAATTAATGTGCAGAACTTTAAGAATACCTGATGACATGAAAATACTTGATGAGAACCCGTGAAGACTCAATGCATTCTGCTGATTGCAAGCCAGAAGCAACAAGACAAACCGATTTAGGAGCCTGAAAAGATCACCCCCTTACCTGACTTCAGTGGGATTCCACAGGGTACAGTAACAGATCCCATTTAAGGATCAGGGATTTAAACATGTGTATCAATGCATACATATCGGGGCATTTAAATCTGTGGATAAATACAGTATCCCTACAACATTTATGTTAATGTATGATCAATATGTGCATTTGTGTGCCACCTTGGGTCCATTATTTCCATCACTCCCTATGATCAACCTGCTGAAGTCAAAGCCAAAACTCCCAGTGACTTCAATGGGTTCAGAATTTCACCCTGTTGTCTCTCTGTCTGCCTCTCACAACAGGTTAGAAAGTTGTCTCCCCTGCAAGGGCTTCAATGTGGCTCCTGAAGGGCCCATCCCAGCAAAGCCCATTGGGCCTTACTGAATGTACTGCAACTAACTAATGTTAATGCAGGCATGACCATTTACAGTAGCAGATTATCTGGCCCCTAATATGTACTTTGCTCTCAGTATATACAAATGTATTTGTATTATAAATACTTGGGGGAAAACTCCATACCTAGCTTTAATCTCTTTTCCATGGATTAAGTTTAATTATTTGATTCACCATCAACAGTCAGAAATGCAAAGAAAAATGAAATTACTCACATTTGTCTTTTCCAACTTGTGAATGCACAGCAATGGCTAGGATAGGTGAGGTTAGCCTCAATCAGTGCAACAAAGTTCTCTAAGGCAGGCAGCTTTTTTAAATTGTAGGTAGATCGTGCTCTTAGCTTCTTAATATTTTCTAATCCATAGGCAGGCAGGAAACTGATTCTTGTCTTTGAAATATCCCTTTAAGACATATAATACTCTCAGCAAAGAGATAAATTAACAACCCTCTCCCACCCCTCAATTTAGAGACATTTTTGGCTCCTGCCCATTATAAGAGACTAGTGATTGGAAAGAAGCTGTCTGGACAGCCACATTGAAAACAGGATCAGAGGATGACGTTGTACTTTCTCATTTCGTTCATCTGATGTCTGCCTCGAAAAGATTCTAAAAATCACTGATGTGAAACCAAATAAGAGAAGATTTGGACAGGTACAGACATCAAAGACAGTCATGGCTTGGTCTCTGAAGGGGGAAAGCATGCTTAACAAATAGGATTATTTTCCTTGAGATGGTGACAATAAGGGTCAACAAGTGTGAAACAAAAGACCATATAACTGGGCTTCAAGAAGGCTTGCAACAGAGCAGTGCATAAAAAAGAATGAAAGAAACTGCTTATAACATTAGAAAGCAGCTATTGATGGTGAAATTCTAGCCTGGATAAAAAAAATTGCTTTAGTAACCAAAGTTGAAATATACCAGCACAAATCAGGTGGAAGGAAAATGCTAAGAAGGGAAGATCAGTAGCGGACATTAAGTCCAGTCTTTTTGAAACTATAAATCAATGAAAAGGAGGAGGAAACAAACACAAAAGTGTGCCTGCTTGTAGATGATGAAAAAATGATTGAGTGGGTCAGTACCAAAGAAAAAAATAGAGACTGGGCTTAAAGTGGGAGACCCGAGCTGATGTTCATTGAAGACTATTGTTGAGTATTATAGATTCATTAAAAATAGAAGACAAATAATCTACATTCTCTAGTAGCAATAAAGGATCTGGTACATGACAACTGAAAACCATTAGCTCTTTGTGAGGCAGGGTTTAGGAAATACTGAAATGCACCAATCAGTGAGGAAGATTATTATAGCACTATAAAAAGGGCTGATGAAATCACACCTGAATTATTATTATGGACAATCCTGGACACCTTATTATGGGAAGGAAAATGAGGAACTGGAACAAAATGCAGAAAGCAACAGATAGGTACATGGGAGGTAGCAACTGTGTGGAAAGGTTGGGAAAATTAAGTTTTGTGTTCATTAAAAAGATGAGCTTCAAATTTCTAGGAGTGAAAACAACAAAACATTTCCAGAGGGTAACAGGTTCAAAAAGGAGAGAGAGAAGAGACTGAAGCTCAGAATAGAGCGAGCATTACAGAAGGTGCAAATAAATGTATTTATGTGGAAGGCAGTTACTTGTGAAATGGACTATCAAAGGTAGTGATGGAGGCTACAACTATAAAGTTATTATAAAAAGAACTAGACAGGCAATGAGAGGGAAAATATCCTGTGATGTAAACACAAAATCCTTCCTTGTGCTGCACAGATACTGGAAGGAGGCCAGTGGTCCTTCACCTGCTGTCAAGGAGCAGTGCAGGATTTCTCCCCAGTGTTCTAGAGAGTTATAATTGGCATAACACATCTCATATGGGGCACTGTCTGCTAATGAGGGGGCATGCCCGGCTGGGCCATCTGCCTACTGTATATGCTGTGTCCATCAACATGGGAAAGCAGGGGAGCATGCTGCTTCCTTTAACAATAGCAGTAAAATGAACCAAGCAATATGTTGCCCAATCCTTCCTGCAGTCAGATATGTGCCCCACATTGTTATGTTCTCTGACTTGTGTTATCAAAGAAAAGAGCTTGCCCTAATGAAGTAGATGAGCTGACCTAATTTGGAAGCATAGCTTTTCTCCATCCTCAAAACATTCAGTCTCTATTTCATTGATAACTTTTCTATATCATGGCAATATTTCATTTGATATAAATTACACAATAGGCACAAGTTATTTTTATTATGAGATACATCTAGTGGCCACTTTCAGTAGTAGTACATTCAGTAGTTGGGGAGATCAAATGTCAATAATAAGTTTCATACAATTGGTGTGAATGACATTCACATTTAGAGTCAAATATTCTCATGTGAGGCTCCCTCAGTCTCTCCTATTGAAGTTGTTCCACTTTAATTAAATAATTGGGCCAGAGAAAGCATGATCACTCTATAGTTTAGTGGTTAGAGCACTCATGGGAGATGTTTCAAATCAATTCTTCCACTCCCAGTTCCCAGGTGAGACGCCTACCACTGTGCTAAAAGTTATAAGGGAGGGCCTTCCCCTTCCCAGCTGTTCTGTGAAGTTGCCTCAGGTGCCTGACCTGGTAGGTGGCATATAAGCATGCCTACCTGAGTGGCCCCCACATGCAAGTTAGGTGGCTGAATTATCTTCCCTTGTTTGTGAATCGCTCCTTGAGTGAGGCAGCAGTGAGCATGCCCAGAGGCAAAACCACAGATGCTTAGGAAACTTTTATTGCAAACATTTAAGGGCTGAGTGAGTTTAGGAGCCTACAGGATTAGGTGGCACCCAAGTGGATCACAGTAGTGCCTAAAAACCTATCCAGAGAGCATATGGTGACTAATCAATTGGAATAGATAGCTACTGTCCTGTCACTGTTTGCCTGCAGACCTTAAGAGGACCATTGGGGCAGCTCTGCATCAGGCTTAGGCTTTGTCTACACTGGCACCCCACTAAACGACAAAAGTTTTAATGACGAAAAGGACCATTGGGGCAGCTCTGCATCAGGCTTAGGCTTTGTCTACACTGGCACCCCCCTAAACGACAAAAGTTTTAATGACGAAAAGTGCTGGTGTGGCCAGTGCTTCGTCGGTAGGAGCCATGCTCCCAGAGATGAAGCTACCACCCCTCATTGGAAGTGGAGCTCTCTCCTGGCAATAAAGAGCGACTACACAACGCACCTTACAATGGCGTGGCTGCAGCAGCATAACCGCACGATTATAAGGTGTGCAGTGTAAGCATAATCTTAGTAGGCCTGTCAGGACTCAGGAGCCAATGTAGAAATTGCAGGAATAGTGTGGCTGGGCTCCCGTACAATTATCCCTTCCCCCTTGTTTTCTTATTAGGATCAGCAAAACCTGATGAAAGAAATAGTGCTGTCAGCTGATTATTCTTTTCAGACCTAAATAAGATTACCCCATCCCACCTTCAGGATTGTAGTTAGGGATTGGGGTAAGGCATAAGAGGGGAGTACGTGGTTGCTCTATGGCTCACAGAGAGGTAGGGATTGGGATACCCCTCAAGAGCCTCCTGTGACTCATTGACCTGGTAGCAACAAAGCTTCACTGCTAATGCCATGAATTGGTGAATGTTGATGCTGGAATCATTCAACTGGAAATAAAGTGCACATTTTTAACAGTAAGGATGATTATCCATTGGAACTTACTTAAGGATGTGGGGGATTATCTATCACTTGAAGTCTTTAAATCAAGATTGGATGTATTTTTAAAAGATATGCTCTAAGGCAACCAGACATTATGGGCTTGATGCCGGGATTACTGGGTGAAATTCTATGGCCTGTGCTATACAGGAGCTCAAATTAGATGATCACAGTGGTCCCTTCTGATCTTAACATCTATGACACTATGAACCTTTTACATTATTTCAATATTTTGAGATGTAAGATACAAGGAGATGCTAATTGCCAACTAGATACTGGTTTAGGAAGAACAAGAGATAAGACAATTAGATGTACCATCTAATAAAATATTGCAGTCTGCACCACAAATTTGATATGAGCAATTCTGTTTTTCCCAGCTTAGATGTTATTACAGATCAATCATTTCCATAAGTGAAAACACATTTCTGGTGTACACTATGGTGACAGATGACTGGAAGACCTTTCTTTCATGATTCTCAGTCAGGATAAAAAGGCAATATACCATCCATATAACTGTGGATGCATTATTAATAGAACAGAATAATTCCTATACAAATAATTCAGTGTCTGAATTTGAACTATCAAATGAATCCGAACTACAGCCAAATCAATTTGATAAACCATCAGAATATGATTGTATTGGCTCCAGCTTGCAAAGGCAATGCATTATCTTTTCCCCAAAGAAAGAGCAATTGTGTTGGTGCTCAGAAGATGCTTTAATAAGAAGTTTATCCAAAGGTTAAAGGCATGTATAGGGACTGGTAGCTATCCAATGTTAAAAGTGGGAGGAAAAAATATGGAGGAACTCCTAAGGTAGTGCTTTATACTAGGTCTTCACTGAACATCCAAGCATGGAGGGAGGGTATGGCAAGCACAGATATAAACACTACAGAAGAGTTCTTATCTGATTCTGAAGTTAAATGTACTATTTTTCTCTCTCATTTTTATGTTTTCTAGCCACACTAAAATCTTTTCTGACACTGAAATAATAAAATGTCCTTCCCCCAATTCTAAGGGCAGCTGCTGCTAATATGGGCTAGGGGAGGGCACAAGGAGCTTGGCAGCACCCATGAGCATTGCCAGCTAGAATTGCAGTCCTCCCACCCCGCTTCACTCACTTGAGTAACCCATGCCTCTCTCCTACCAGCCTGAGGCATGCTGGATGTGAGCCCTGAGGGAAGAGAGACAGATACATAGATGGGCTGGTGCTGAAAAAGGAATCATGCACCTTCTGTTGCTGCTCACATGAAATTGTGAATAGAAGCATGAGCAACGGCTCACACTTGCAAATAAGTCTCAGATCTGTACTAAACCTGAGCTTGAGATAATGTTACCAGCTGCCCTCTGCTTCCCAGTGTCAGCCATGTATATGACAATTAATAATATAAAGTGTTACAATAAGAAGTAAAAGCAGTTGAGCACAGTGTTTTAGGGGGCAAACAAAGGGTTGATAAAACAGTGAGTACTGCTGCTGGACACTTGATGACAGCTTTGCGGTTGCAGAAAATTTAGAAGAAGTGCATTGTTAAATGCATTAAAAAGGAAGGACAGAGATCTATGAGAATTCTCATTGCTATGGAACCTTTCTGCATGGGTTACTTTCCCCTAAATAACATGTGCAGAGAAGAAAAGATTAGTGAAATTATGCATGGTATGATTTTCAGCTTTAGATATAGGCTCCAAAGATGTAAGGGTAGATTCTCAGCTGGTTCAAGTTGTCCAAGCTCCACTGAAGTTAACGGATTAGGACAATGTCCAATAGCTGACGATCTCCCCACTTTGGATTGGATCAAAACAACAAAGGAAAATAAGTAGTGTAGCCTTTTGCATAAAGTGCATTATAGCCACTTTTTAACAGAGCTTAATAAAAAGTGGAGATAAACATTAAATAAAACCCTGGATTCAAACTCTCCTAAACTTTGTGGGGGAATATGAAATCTGAACCTGATCCATATTTATAAAATCTGAACCTGGATCCAAATCCACATTTTACATGAGGAAACAAACCTCCAAACCTGAACACTCCTGAATTTTTGGGTATTTGAAATTCAGATCTGCCACCAAATTTGAATTTTGTGTCTAGAGCCCATCTCTAATAGAGAGTTAATAATGAGGAAAAGAACATCTGACTGTTACTTACAGAACAACTGGGCCATTGGCTCCTTGGAAAACCTCATTAGGTAATTTTTCTAGATTGTGATTATCACTAAGATTTCTGTAAAACATAACAATAAGACAAACAGGGATAAATAACTTTGCTACGGTTACTATTTCCCAGTAATTGTTGTGCTGAATACCAAATAATAAGAATAGTTACAGCTCATCCAAGTGGGTTCCATTAAATGCATGATTCTGAATTTCCCGAATTCCATTTTTATTCAGTCGTCTGCAACAAAGAGACACATTTTTAAACATTGATTACAGAAAACTATGCTTGTGCATATTAAGTCAGATGCTCCAAATTCTGAAGCATCAGTAGAATTACTGGGTGATATAAAATTAGTTAAATAAATGGTGATCTCTAGGATTAACAGAAAGCTATTATAAAATCCCAGCCACTGTTGTTTGGGATAAATTGGATTAAATGTGCTGGGCCAGGTTCTGCTTTCACTAATATTGATGTTAAACCAGAGTAGCTGCAGTGAAGTCAAAGGTGGCCCTCCAGATTTACACCAGAGTAAGTGAAATCAGAATCTTTCTGACTGTTAGTGTTAATGCCATACAAACTTTGCATCTGCAAAGTGCTGTTCAAACCTTGGGCTAACTGCTGCTAATTACCACAAAGAGGAGCAAAATGCAACAGGAAAGACTCCAAAGAGGTGGAAGGGGAAGAGCAGGAGCTTCACTGAAAGCACTCACTTGCCTCCAGAAACTGTGAAGGACTCACTGACCCAGTGCTGCAAGATTGGGGTTCAGAGGCTTTGGCATGGAGAAATAGCTGGGGAATGAAAAAGGGGACTCCCAGGAGCCATCAGACTTTTTAGCATTCTCCTCTAACAGGCAAAGTTCTCATGAAAATCTGCTGGCACATTAGTGCTGCTGGGACCAGCAGTAACTCCCCATCTGTGCCCTCTCTCCCCCTCTGAGAGATAAGGGCACTGGAAAAGGAGTGGGACTGGCTCCACATCAAGGCAGTGGGAGGGAGCTGGGTGGAAATAGTGCAGAATTTGCCAAGATAGCTGCTGAGTTTCTAATGCATCTGCTGCCTTCACAGACTACATCCCCTATATGGTCCACAGACCCCCTACTCTCTCATGTTCTCCCCTCCGAGAAAAGAATTAGGCAGCAATTCTATGAATTTAAATTCATGGTGTTCTCTGCTGAGTTTTAACTGTGGTGCTTTAACAAATTAATGTTTAATGTCCCTATCCCATGCTCCCTCCATGATCCAAAAAATTGACATTTGGGTCAGTTATATTTATCATTTATACAGTATAGTTTTTCATCTCCTTTATTGTTACTCTGTACCACTCACCCCCTCTGGCACTGAATGACAGGCCTGACTGATGGCATGAAACAAACAATTAAACTAAACTTTCAGAAAACCTACACATTTTACTTCTTGTTCACAGCGAAAGCATGCAAGTGACCCACTAATCTAAGGTTCACGATGGTGGACTTAGGTCAACATGAAAATCAAGTATAGGCTTGGCTGGAAAGATTACTCCTTTGACCACGAAAGACAGATGTACATGACTCAACGTCTGCAATGTGTGTCAGATCAGATCATGGAAACTGTCTCCTATCCCATCCACTCACAGGCACTATTAGAAATGAGTGAGCCAACACAGAAAGGCAAGACAATCGGATACTGTTTTTACCATCTGACACATTTATTATGTGACATCATTCATATTAGTTAGCATCTGCCACTCTGATTTTTTAAAAAAATCATAATATTGGCACTCATTGTGTTCTATCACTGCACATCGTGCTAAGTTTGTGATACTACCCTGCTGAGTATGGATCCTGCTGCCATACAATCCTGACTATGCACGGCAATCACCTGGAGGAAAAATACAGCCACTACTTTCAAGCAAAAAATATATAAAAATTATACATTTACCTTTGAGCTAAACCCTGGAGTCCTCAGTCACTTTTTACTCAACTCTCACATAGCCAACCTCCCTTTGGCCCAAATTCTTCTCTTATTTAAACCAGCACATATCCTGAGCAACTTCAGACTAAAATGGAAGTCTTGCCTGAGTACGTTGAGTAAAAATAACTCGAGAGCTCCGGAATTTGGCTTTTTGTGTTTATGTTTGATCACTGTATTGGTACATTTACAAAATAAGGGTGAAATTCACTCCTGTGCAGAAGGCCAGCACAAAGTCTATAGCACCATTTAAGTTTCATTTATGCTGAATTTTGAATGTTTAAGGTGAGGCATAGACTTTGCGTTGGGGTGAATTTCAATCTTTTATATATTTTTAGGAGTTCTTAACTGAATTTACATAAAACTTCAGTTTGCCCTCCTGCACACATCTTCAGATATGGTTTGACTTTCAGCTCTAAACACACTATTAACCTCTAGGGAGAAATCCTGGAACAATGAAATCAACAGTGTTTAGTGGGTATTTAAAAGGATCTGACTGAGAAAGCTGTTGAAGCATAAAACTGACTGGAGAGTGGAAGTGAGAGTGCAAGTGACTCACATTATGCCTTTCCTTTTTTAAAACATCCTTCTGAGAATATAATTTTGTTTTTTTTCCTTTGTGAAGCATTTCCTCAACAATAATACAGAATGTTCTTTTTAGTTGGTCTATATTGGCTAAAATGTGCAGCAGTGATCAGATATGCCTGCCAAGGCTGGAATATGGAACACAAATAACATAGGGATGCTGGGGGCTTTACATGACATGGGATCTATTTTTTTAACATAATAAACTTAGTTCCATGGATTACTATTTCTGATATAAATATTTCACAATAGTGCAAGTGAAGGAACATTAGGGTTATGTGGGGATGGAGGCAAATTTGGGTTTAAAATGAGGTATTTCCTTCCTATGGAGAGATATGCAGTACTGAAAGGTATACCAAAATGAGATCTTATTAAAGGTATACCAGAACCTGAATAAACTAAATACTGTACTTCATTCCTGGAAGAAATTAGCTCTACTTTCTGTGTAAAAGCACAGTAGTTGCAATGAAGTCAAAGGTGTGTAAAAGCAGCTTTGTCCTATCTTTCTGTGACCCATCCATGATAGTCCCTGTGGGTGAAATTCACCCGTGTAGATGGCAACCACAGAGCTATGCACAATTTTAGGGGATATTGATATGAATACTTAGTTTGTGGCAAGCTGCAGTGTAATCTACCCTGTTCTATCTTGTCACACACTAACTGTCTGTGAGGACTCTCCGGCCATGCAATAATAGTTCTATAGTGCACTTTTAATCTATTCCCATTTCAAAGCAGGGAAGATCAAAGTGCACTATGGATCTTTTAGTGCACTGCAATAGGGTTCACATGGATATTCAGTGTACAGGAGATTTATATCCCAGTTTTCTGGAAACTAAGTGTTTGTGTAGACAAGCCCTGAGGGCTACCTCTGAATTCCATCAGCCTCATATCCCAAAATCATCCCATGCAGCAGCATGAGACTATCTTACCCATCTCGTCTTCATTTTAAGGGTCACAGTCCAAAAAAAAAAAAAAAAAAGACTGAGATCCACTGGTCTAGTTAAGTCAGAATGGGGCTGGGAGTCACAGACTCTTGAATTCTAATCCTAGCTGTGTCATTGGTTTACTTTGTGGCCTTGGATAGATCACCTAATCTTTGTGTCTGTTTTCTCTCTATAAAATAAAGATAATGGGCTGGATTTTCAGCTGCACCCATTGTCCATTGGATGCAGTTTTTTGGTATGGCAACTTGAAAAGGAACATTAAAGGCTGATGTCCAGGTTTGTCATCCACTCTATGGCTTCTAGTGACATGGAATGAATCAAAGCTGTCCCGCTCGAGAAGGATCTTGGAGGGAAGCAGTCCACTAGATATTCCATAATTTGGAATAGGCTGTCCTTCATTTTCGGTGGATGTAGTTGATGTGGATCCTGTTGATGTGGGGGCAGAGGAGCTAGTTGTGACTCCCTGATTCTGGGGCTAGTTCTATGCCAACCCCAACCCTCATGTAGTTTACTGCAGCCTGAGGTCTGCTCTAAAGTTAGCTGGCTTTGACCCCAAGGGACCATTACACCAGTACAGAATAGCTGGAGTGCAGTAGCACTCAGATCTCAGTCCTCCCCAAAATGACCACTATACCATGGGATGGGTGGCACAAGAGCCTCAGGCTCAACATGGTATTCCTACAAGCTTGGGGAATCCCCAGCAAGGGAGATAAGACAGTTTTCTGGTCCCTTCATGTTGCTAGGGTGGCAGGTGGCATAAAGAAATCAGATGACAGGAAAGAATCTTGCTCCACAGTAGTTAGTTACCTCACCTCTTAGGGGTTTGTAGAAATTAAGAAGGTGCTGTTTGTACAGTGCTTAAAAGATGCAAAGTGCTATATATAGGTGCTAAGTATTATCATTATGATTAAATAAGACAGAAAAGGTAAACGAATGAGATTTAGGGTCTTATTCTCTGGGTAGCTATTCCATATAACAGTGGGAATATCTCTGATAATACTTTTTCACTCTTCAGAGAATACTATCCACATCTGGTAGATTTTCAGGGGGATGGGATGGATAAACGGTGGGGTAGACCAGTGATCCTCAACCAGGAGTCCGGGGCTCCCTAGGGGGCCTCAATCAGGTTTCAGAGGGGCCTCCAAGCAGAGCCAGCATTAGACTCGCTGGGGCCCAGGGAAGAAAGCTGAAGCCCCATCACATGGGGCTGAAGCCAGGTCCCTGAGTCCTGCCACCCAGGGCTGAAACTGAAGCCTGAGCAATGTAGCTTCGTGGGGGCCCCTGTGGCATGGAGCCCCAGGCAATTGCCCTGCTTGCTACCTACTAAACCCAGCCCTGGCTTTTATATGCAGAAAACCAGTTACTGTGGCACAGGTGGACCGGTGAGTTTTATAGCATGTTGGGGAAGCGGGGGGAGCTCAGGAAGAAAAAGGTTGAGAACGTCTGGGGTAGACAAACGAGGGGTGATAGTAATTAACTTTGCTATAGCTCTATCTTCAAATATTGAGGGTCTGATCCTGCTTCCACCCAAATCAGTAAGATCAGAATTGGTCCCTTGCTACATGACCCCTGCTTCCTATATCTGAGTCAAGCTGCAGGGAGTAATGGTAAATTTTCCAAACTAGGCACTGGCCTAGGTGGGATGAAAGAAGATTTTTAGTACAGCAAACAAACATTCAATGTGCCTATAAAAGGGATCTGGAAACCCAGCTAGTTCATTAAAAAACATGATTGTTAAGTCAAATGAGACGTCGTCTAACTACACAGCATGAAACTGCATTGTGAACTGGTCTGTAACAATATATTAGCGTTATGTACAAGTATACCATATTTTACACATATCTACATGTAATTTGCTTGAATAATGAATGTCTTTGAATGATGTATCTGATTGCAAATATGTATGAGCTATTCGTCCTTTGGAACACAATTTGTATTATGTGGAACCATCATGGTCTTTAACCTTGGTACCATTAATTGTTAAATTTTCTCTATGCTCTGCTGTGGTTCTAAAATACAGATCTGAAATGAAAAGTCAGGAGGGAGAGAGAGATTACTGAATACTGAAAGTATAAAAGAAGACAAGAGATATTTCTTAGTTAGGAGCTTTGCCCATTTGCAAACCCATTTAAATGGGGTGGGGATTTTAAAGTGGGTTCTGGGTTCAATTTCTACTTAGGAAAAACTGGGGAGGAAAGGGGCAGAAAGGGATCAGAGAAAAGAAACCCAGTGAAAATGAGGGTGACAAATGGAGTAGAGCACAGACAGAGTGAAGAATAAACAAAGGCTGTGTAAAAAGAGCAGTGATAATGGGGGGATACCATTCTGATGGAAAAAAAGAGGATATCTAATGATTCTCTGCTGCCCTAAGTTTATACTTGGAGGAGACAGCCATCAGGCTTATTGGCTCCATGATGCTCTGCTGGCCCCATTTGTATGCTTGCCAGCCTAACTTTTGGGGGGCAGTTCTATCCCTGACACACAGCACATATATAGCTCTCACTGTTGCCCCATGCCATTGGCTTCCTCCCATCTGTTTCCTGTATCTACATGTTGTCTTTTGTTACATACTTTGACAAATGTGTGGGACAAGAATCGTCTTTTTGTTTTGTGTGTGTCGCACTGGGGCTCCAATCCCTGCCTGGTGTCTTGAGGAGCTGCACAATACAAGTATTTAACAACAAGACAAGTTTCTTCCAGCCAGAATTTGTTATAAATGAATTCAATCTTCATGGGGTAAAAACCCCCACACATGTTTGAATTACAGGGTAAAATTCGTTTTGCAAACCTATAAAATAGCACCCAACAAAGTTTCTCAGGCTCTATTCTGGAGAAGATGTGAACTAAGATGTGGTATTTGCTAATTCTTACTCACATAATGACACTTTCAGAACTCAGGCCCATGAAGGAATTCCTTTCAATTGTACGTATATTTATATTATCTTGAATATCTCTGAAAAAGAAAGTAAAGTAAAAATTAAACAGTTTTGTAGCTCTGTGATCCTTTCATTTCTTTGACAGGAAACGACGCTTCAAACACCAAAGAAATTTTTCTTTACATTAGATCTGAGAAAATATTTTACATGTAGGTTTCCTGAATGATATCACTAAGTTTGTCCAAGTACTGCTGGGGAGTGAAATGGGAGCAATTACTTCCATACTTTTGCTTTTTGCTTTCTAGAGCATGCATCTTAAGCAAGGCAAAATCAACAGTATGCACTTAGGGCTGGATCCTTTGAGCCTCAGACCCATGAATAATACTGCCACAACAAGTAATTAAAGAAGTTGCAGGATTGGCCCCTAAACTAATGCAGAGAAGGGTCGTCTTTTTTGGCCCTGATTCATCAAGGTACTTAAGCATGTAAGTAATTCCTCCACTAATGTCAACTACTCATGTGCTTAAAACTAGGCACAGGCTAAACTGGGGCCTCTGACAGTTTATTGCATTGACAAGTATTCATTTCAGTCAGTTCCACAGTAGACTGTTATATATAAAAGGATAAAGGATGACTGATGTATAAAAGGATATACTCATACACATTTCTGTTACTTGCTCAAAATACAGCTCCAAGAAGTTAAACAGTATTACTCATAATTTAGACTGGGAGAATTGTTGTTTTCATGCTGTTTTTAATGGAAAGCAGTGAACATAATGAATTACTTGCAATGCCTGAAACTTAATGCAGCTTTAAACTTGTCTCATTCTGAGTGCTATATATGGCCACGATACTGATAGTTAAACAGGGGCCTCATTCTGCAAGTGTAACTCCGATTGAAATCAACAGGAGCATCAGTAAGTGAAATTCACACCTGTACAAAGAGCCAGGACAAGGCCTTATAACATTTATACATACATGCACACACACATCCGCACGTGCACACACATACCATTAAATTCCCAATTATGGAATGAAATCCTGCTCCTCTGAAGTCAACAGGAGCTTTGCAATTGACTTTAAGAGGGCCAGGACTTCAACCAACATCTATTTTGGGACTTAAATGGTGTTGCCTTCTGCAAAGGGAGGAATTTCACCTCAGGCAAATAACCTGTGATTCTCTAGCATAGATCGATCCAGAGTAACTAAGTCTGAAGATGATTACAAAGCTGCCTAGAAAAAAGGTTACATGGATCCTTGCATGCTGTACCTGCTATATGGAGTCACAAAGAGCTAGAGTGCAATTCCAGAAACTCCATACTTGACAAAACACAGTACCTATATATTTGAATAGCAGTACCCAAGATAGGTGGAGGATTAATATTCCTGAAGATTAATGTCATATAAGATTTAAATCTAAGCAAGAGTAGTGGAAATATACCCCAACTTTCTATTAATATACCTCAATACCAGCCACCTGTAAGGATGAAACAAGAGTGACTATTCATTCCCTGGCTGCTTGTGACTGCCAGCCAGAGCTGTTGAAAAATTTCTATCAAAACTGTGTTTTTGATAGTGAATTCCTGACCCTATTAAAGTCCATTGCAAAATTCCTACTGACTTCCAGGGGTCAGGATTATCAAAGCTGGTTTTTGATGGAAAAATTAGGTTTTTGACTAAATGAAAATTTTCACAGAGAGTGCTTGCTTTCCATGGAAAGTGTTGATTTTTTGTTGGGAAAAAAACAACCTGAAAAATGTTTGCGTTCTTGGTTTTTCAACACAAATTAATGATTTGTTCTCCATTTTTGTTGAAATTTTCTAAGGGAAATATTACCCTATTTTCCAACCACCTCTATTGCCAACACAGGTGTTGACTGCAGTGATTTTTTTGTAACCTGTCCACTGGGAAGTGGATTCAGACCAACTCATTTCACACAGACCACAGAACAGTCACCAGATGACAACAAATTTCGGTCTCTACCAGTCTGGCTTGAATTTAAATTGGTGACTTAGAAGTTAAAGGTTATTGTTGGTCCCATGAACCAAATAAAAAGTTCTCTGTCACATGCCATATATAAAATCTTGTATAGAGAAGTCACAGGAACACTCAAATAATGTAAAACAAATTATCAATGCACACCAGATTACAACTGGTGATGAAGTGACAAAGTCACTAAACAAATGCAAAGGGAAACGTGTCCAAGATCTTATCAGAGGAGCAGACCATTTGAATGGAGATAACAAAAAGTTAAAAGCAGCCAATATAAACTTACAATACAACTTTCTGGAGAGATTGTAGCTTATGTACAGTAGGTAAAAACTTAATGCCAGTGTTTGATATTGACCTAAAGAGGGAGAGAACAAATGAAGATTATTAGCTGTGGCTCACAAGTAAAATAAAACTAACGAAGAAATACAGGAATAAAATTGGCAAACATTTAGAGTGAAACTGAGCCATGTGCAGAAGGCCTACACACCAGGGAAACCATACTTATGTTGTATAGTATGGGTGTATGGTATAGAAAAGTAGTGGCCTAACTCTGCTGCCCCTGAAGTCAGGAGTAAAACTCTCGATTTCAATGGGAGGGGAGTAAGGGCAATGCTGAATGCTTTCTGAAATGCTACCCCTCAGGACTTAAACTGGTGTTGCCTAAGGAGCCTTTCACTGACCCCCTGCACAGGGGTGCATTTCAGCCTTCATTTGTTACGTTTCAGAAATGTATTTTGCTTAGATGTCAGTTCATCAATAGTGCGTTGGTTCAGCAACTGAAGGACCCAGATTAGGGATTGAATTTAGGGTGCCAAAAATAAAATGAAAGAAGGGCATGCCTATTACACAGATGGGGAGGCCTCAGGATCAAGAGTAGAAAGCATCCGATTTCTAATTTTACACCTTTTATTAATTTAATAAAGACATGAACCTCCAGACTGAGAATAATTAAAGTACCTGACATTCTGGACTGAAGGAAGGTTCTGTCCTGGTGTTTGTTTTTCCACTATCTTTTAAACAGATTAATCACAGTGATACAGAATAACATGTTTTTATAATATGTATTTGTAAATATGAACCCATTTTTAACCACAATTTTTAACCTCCACTTTAGTGGAATTGTCATTTCCACTGGAAAATGACAGCACTTCAGAAAGTAGGAAAAACCAGACTGTTTGTTTCCTAGTGTGTTGGGTATTTATAATCTGAACATACATTAGCTATGTAGCAATTAGTCCCACTCGAGATGAAGCTGAGTTTCAAAAATTGGAATCACAACTAAGTCCAAACTTCCCCCACAATAAGGGTTTCTTGCATCAGGGGTTGTGGTTGAGGCATGTGACCATGCTCTTCACTGTCCAAGAAAAATTACCTGGCACACTTGAGTAGGACTCAAGGGCTTGTCTATACTTATGGCTAAATCAGCACTGCTGCGATTGGTGGCAGAGTGCACTCCCGATGACTCCTGTATTCCAGGTCCCCAAGAAGAGTAAGGTAAGTAGGCAGGAGAGCATCTCCCATTGACACAGTGCAGTGTAGACACCGCTCTAAGCAGGGCCGGCTCTAACTTTTTTGCCGCCCCAGGCAAAAAAGAAGAGCGCCGCCCCGCCGTAACACCCCCCTCCCAGCGCCGCGCCTCACCGCTCAAACCCCCGAGCGCCTCGCCGGGCCAACCAAACCCCCCCCCGAGCGCCGCACCGGGCTGGCCAAACCCCCGCCCCCGAGCGCCGCACCGCGCCAGGCCGCCCAAACCCCCACTGCCCCCCGAGCGCCGCACCAGGCCGCCCAAACCCCCGGGGTGCCACACCAGGCCGCCCAAACCTCCACGCCCCCCCCCCAGCGCCGCGCCGCTGAAACACCCCCCGCGCTGTCCGGCTGAAACAAACAAAAAAACCCGCAAAAAAAAAACCCTTGAGCGCCTCCCCGCCGAACAAAAAAACCAAAAACACCGCGAGCGCCCCCCGCCACCCCAACATTGGCTGCTCCTTCTAAGGTGCCGCCCCAAGCACGTGCTTGGTCAGCTGGTGCCTGGAGCCGGCCCTGGCTCTAAGTCAACCTAACTTAAGTCGACTTATGTAACTGAAGTAGCGTAACTTAGGATGACTTACAGCTGTAGTGTAGACCAGTCCCCAGAAGTCCACAGGGTTTATTTGGCAAGGGTTACCCTGCCACAGTCTCCTTAGATCCCTCAGGCTAGTCCCCGGTGGCACAGAAAAACCCTATGGTATTTTGCAGCAGAGCAAAGAACTAGTCCCACAGAGAAAAAAACCCACAATAATCCTGTCCCAGGCCTACCTTCCTCTGGGGAGACTCTGGTAATCAGTCTTGGGAGAGGTACTGAGCATGCCCTTTCCTCAGAGAGCAAAGGATAGTAGGGCTGCTCTTACTGAGCTTTCCTCTTTCCTTTTTAACTGCCCCACCCTTACTACCTGACAGCAAGTGCAAATGTGGCAGGGCAGGGGCTGAGTGGGCTCCTAGCAGCTAGTTAACCCTTGCTGACCCAGGATGGGGATGACACACCCCAACACAAGGCCTAAACAGAGTATTACAGAACACAATACCTTTTTTGGCTCATAAACTGTTATCCAATTTGATAACATTGATGATATATTGATCACCTATATACACTAAAAGGACAGTGCCACAGGTATCAGCAAAGCTGCCTGGGCTTCTGGCTTAGGCCAGTTGCATTACCAGACAAAGAGAAGAGCAGGCTTCAGTTAAGGCAAAATGCCTGTATGTATCTACTGCGTGAGGTGGTATTGGAGGTAACCTTGAACTGAGAATACTGTTTTGTTTTTTTTTAAGAAATACATTAGTGGTATATCAAAGGTTTTGGGTATGTCTACATTAGACACTTCAGGAACAGAAGGGGTTATTCGATCACTGTAGTAAATCTACCTCTCTGAGTGGCAGTAGCTAGGCTCATGGAAGACTTAGGCTGGCTTAATTACATTGCACAGGACATGACATTTTTCACAGTCCTGAGCAATGTAGTTAAGCCAACCTAATGTTGTAGGGTAGACCAGGCCTTTGTATTAGCATCTACACAGAATAGTGGTCTTCTGTTATTAGATTTTTTTTTTGCACACTTACATTCTTGAATAATTAAATGATGATGAAAAACTCTGGCTGAGACTCTGGAAAACATAATGAGCATTCATATAATGTTCAATGTGAACCTGAAGTGTTCTGGAAAAGTTGTTAAAAGACCCTTCAGATATTCATGACCAAATGTGGAAATCTAAACAGGACATCTAAATCCCACATTTGGGCATTTAAATTCACACTTAGGTCCATAAAATGGCCATTCACATGCCTAAGTGTTGATTCAAGTTCTCAAATGTGGATATGCTATTTAGACACGATGAAAAATGGGTTCTTGGCAGGGGCGGCTCCAGGCACCAGTGCAGCAAGCGCGTGCTTGGGGCGGCAAGCCGCGGGGGGTGGCCTGCTGGTTGCTGTGAGGATGGCAGTCAGGCGGCCTTCGGCGGCATGCCTGCGGGAGGTCCGCCGGTCCCGCGGCTTCGGCGGCGGGGACGCTGATGGCGTGGCACTGGCGGACCTCCCGCAGGCATGCCGCCGAATCCGCGTGACCAGCAGACCGCGCGCAGGCGTGCTGCCGAAAGCCACCAGCCTGCCGTGCTTGGGGCGGCAAAAAACATAGAGCCGCCCCTGGCTCTTGGTGGTTTTATTTTATAACCATAAGCCTTTGCATTACATGAAAGACCATTTAAAGGGAAGGCAGTGAATATTCAAAAATACACCTTGGGGACAATTTATTAAATGTCACGATTACTTTGTCTTGGGAACAGGCATGTTTGCACTAGATAAAAACAATTCCAACTTGTCACAAGTGACCAAGAAAGTGCAACAAAGTGTACTTTACAAAACTAACACATACAGATAAATCGAAAGGCATTATTAATGCAGCAGGTGGGTCATCACAAGATTTTTATTTTTCATGTACATCTTGCAGTGCTGCATCCTGAATAGAGTTAGCAAAACAACCATTAAAAGAGATAGAAAGACAGTGCCTGCATCACCTTCCTTACACTACTTAAAGTTCAATCCCTAAATTAGCTGAGAATTGTGTGGGGTTTGAGCTCCACAGCTGCCTTTGATTTTCAATGAGAGTCATATGGCTACAATTCCATGAAATTGTTTAAAGGTGTTAAATGTAAGAGTCACTTGTATTTAAATACAAATTATACCATGCATTTGTTTTAATAACGTCTGTGCTGAGGCAGATAACAATTGTTGCCAGATTGTGTAGGGGTATAGTAGGGCAGAAAGGAGGGAATTAATAGCTTTCCTCCCCACATCACTTCCCAGAGCTAAGCTTGGTCCTTGTGTTCAGACAGTAAAAGGACTATAGTACTCTTGCACCACCACCATCACCACTAGGTCCCCCCAAAGAGTGAGTCATGTTGGTCAGCAGAGCTTGCACCCCACAGGTGGGAAGGGGAACTTGTAAAGTCTGCGTGATGCAGCAGTCACTATCCTTCTGTTCTCCCAGAGGTATTGGGCAGGATTCTGTTCTCACATCAGGTATATGTAACTAGACTGGCTTTAAAGGCATGGGATTATGGAGTGTACAATTTAGAAAATCGTAACACTTTTATTAAATCTGTAGGTGGTGCAGTGGAGTGCACTGGTGGACAGGACGATGATTAGAAACAGGCGAGACTGTTTTTTTAGCAAGGCATGTGGCAGAAAAACTAAAAGCACTGGTTAAACCATAGTCCTGTTGGGCCTCCCCTCTCTCTTTTTTACTCAACCAACAAATCTCTAGAGTGAATAATCTTGTAATAATGTAGATAATCCCATTTACTGGATATCCTTCCTGCAGGACAGTTTTGTCAGTTTTGGCAAGGGTTACCCTGCCACAGTCTCATGCAATACCATATTAATATTCAATACTTAGAAAATGTAATTATCCCATAGGTTGATGGGTGTACTGAGAAATCTAGCCATCACTTCTTCCCTAGCCATAATAAAGAACTAGTAATAGTGTTCATATGTTTGAAGAATCTTATAGAAAACCCCTTAAGCAGCATGTTGCAAAGTTCATTACATTGATGAGCTACTGATATTTTAATACTTTGCCCAATGTCTCTCCATCTCATGCATTGACAATGTTCTATGTTTCGTATTGTCTTCTGCAAACTGATAATAAGTACCTATTTTTGCTTTAGTTTTTTTGAACTGGGTTTTGACTCTCCTATCACAGACAATGTACTGACTGTGGATCTTAGAAAATATGATTTGCCATACTGGGCCGGGCCAGTAACCCATCTAGTCTGATATCCTGTCATTCACATTGACCAATATCAGAACCTTCAGAAGAAGGTG